CCCATCGGATCGTGAAGGGCACTTCCTTTGCTCAATAAAAACATATTTTGAATAAACCTTCCTTCTTCAATTTGATATATGACTTCAATACCCCGATTAATTGGCTCAATCATAGATAGTCATGGATCCATTAATAATCAAAGTTTCGGTATTGGGTCGAAATCCCACAGGAGCTTTAATATTTTGAGCCCGGATGCTCCACCTCCAATCGGAAGGAATTGAAAAACCAAAAACAAAAAACAGCCGCCGAGCAACTGGGCATGCCCCCAAGCTGGCCACAGGCCATTTTTTGTCACGTCACGCAGAGTACCCCAAAAAGGTCTTTTGACACTTTATGGTTCAGGTACTGGCCCCGTTAGGGCAGAAAAGCGACCCTGGCACAGCCCTCGGTGGCCAGGGGTGAAGCTGAGCTCCTGGAAGGAAGCGAGCCCCACAGCCTCATGAAACCTAAACCTTCCTGTCCCTCACTGATCAACAGTTCATGTGAGTCACCAAGGCTACCTGGAACTTCACAGCCTCTTCGCCAAGCTTCTGCACGAACTTTTCTGCGTCCTCTTCGCGGAACGACCCCTTGTCTGCCTTTGAGTCGCAGAGCTGCATTCCCGTGACTCCGGGTGGCTTCATCTTGTGGCTCGCCATCCAAGTGTCCACTGTCTTCTTATCCCACAAGTAGACACAGTGCTCCAAGAGTTTCTTCTTCTGTGCTCGAAAAAAAGAGCGCTGATCTCCTTGAGGTAGGAAGTCCATTTCTTGGCATCCTCGGGAGTCTTCCAAGCCACGTCCGAGACCGCCATAATCGCCCCGTTCAGCTCATCCGGTACAGCGGAGATGGCGCCTTTGTCCACTTCTTTCTGGAGCAAGGCCTTGGCCTTCGCCTCGTCCCAAAAGCAGAGGCACATATCCATCTGGTCCGCCGCGTCGCTGTTTCCGAGCTTCTTCAGGGCCTCGCGTTTCTTGAGTTTTGGCTTGGCGGCCTCGGCGGCTTCGACGATCCTCTTGAAGATCGCCAGCGCCTCTTCGGGCAATGTCTCAGCCGCCTGCTGGATGTGTGCGTCCGGCACATCCTTCATCTTCTCGATCGTCTCAGGCTTTGTCAGATTCTCCATCATGGCTCCAGCACCGGCACCCATGGCGACGAGATGTCACGAAGGAAGCTGGAGACCGAAGACGAAGGGCCGCAAAGCTTGAGGGCTGAGACGAGCTGTCACGAAAAAAGAGTCATCCTGAAACATGGCAAGCGGACCTGCTACTTAGCTTTAGAAGACAGGGCCGTGTCTCATTCTGGCCTTTCTTCCATGTCATCATGATCAGTTTACTGATACCTGTGCAAACATGCTGCCCATGTCCAGACACGAGTATGCACGAAACAACAGCCTAAATTGGCTGCCCACCGCCTAAGCCCTAAACCCTAAGACCTAAACACCAAGAGCCACACTCTAACCCTAAAGCTTGCCTAAAACCCTACACCCTAAACCTCTGCTGCTGCTGCTGCTGCTGCTCTTGTTGCTGCGACTTTGACATCGGCTCGGCAGCCCAAAACCCTGCCCAAAACCCTAACTCCCAAACCTGCCCCTAACCCACCTGCTGCTGCCGTGGTATGCCCTAAGTCACGGTTGCTTTTGGGTTTAGGGTTTAGGGTTTCAATACCAGAAAAAAACTCGAACACCCAGAAAGGTGCCAACCGCTGTATCTGCCAGCATCCCAACCCCCCGAAAGCCTAAACTCTAAATGTCTAAACCCGAAACCAACAAGCCCGAAGCCTCTCCTAAACCCAAAACCCAAAACCATCCTCCCTTTCTGAACTCAAAGGCTGCGGTTCGACTTTGGCAGGAGGGCTCATTCCGCCAGCGGGCCCTGGGCAACCTGCACAGCTGCGGACGGTTTAGGGTTTCGGGTTTAGGCAAAGACAGCTCAGTGGTGTAGCGTAGCCCCTTGAAGGTATGCGCCACCTCTCACAAGCTCAACGTGCCCCAAACTCGAAGCTGAGAATTTTGCGAACTAGCCCCCTCAAACCCACGGCCTCCCACCCTTCATCCGACAAACCCTTGAAAGCCTCAATGCCACATCCCTGCCCTCGATACACGAGACCATACACCCTAAACGCTACAGTACCAGTTTGAGACTGGCTGTGTGCGGTCCACTACGCAGCCTATTTTCTGGTCTCAAGTGAGCTCAAGACGTCTGTGGAAACAACGTGTGCGCCCTGTCTTAGGGGTAGCAAAAAAGTACAACTTGAAGTGTACTACAAAAGGAGCACATGTACTGGGGTCACACGAACTTGGCGCTATATACACAAGACTGTAAAATGGTTGGCTTTGCAACATCTGGTGTCTGGGCCATGTGACCGGAAATAGAGCAAGCTGGTGCTCATGATGCTCCCTCCTGCCTCGTCAAAATGCGTGCAATCACTGGGGCAGTTGGTTCTGCAACATCTGGAGTCTCGGGGGGCCATGTGGCCAGAAATATACCCAGCAATCACTAGGGCAGTTGGCTTTGCAACATCTGGAGTCTAAGGGGGACATGTGGCCGGAATTATACCCAGCTGATGCTCATGATGCTCCCCTCCTGCCTCGTCAAATGCGTTCAATCACTGGGGCAGCTGGCTCTGCAACATCTCCATGTGGCCGGAAATATACCCAGCTGATGCTCATGATGCTCCCCTCCTGCCTCGTCAAATGCGTTCAATGACTGGGGCAGTTGGCTTTGCAACATCTGGAGTCTAAGGGGGCCATGAGGCCGGAAACATACCCAGCTGATGCTCATGATGCTTCCCTCCTGCCTCGTCAAATGCGTTCAATCACTGGGGCAAGTGGCTTTGCAACATCTGGAGTCCAAGAAGTCCATGTGGCCGGAAATATGCCCAGCTGATGCTCATGATGCCCCCCCCCTGCCTCGTCAAATGCACAATCACTGGGGCAGTTGGCTTTGCAACATCTCGAGTCTAAGGGGGCCACGTGGCTAGAAATATAACCAGCTGATGCTCATGATGCTCCCCCCATGCCTCGTCAAATGCGTTCAATCACTGGGGCAGTTGGCTTTGCAACATCTGGAGTCTAAGGGGGCCATGAGGCTGGAAATATACCCAGCTGATGCTCATGATGCTCTTCTCCTGTCTCGTCAAATGCACACAATCAACACAATCACTGGGGCAGTTGGCTTAAGGGGGCTATGTGGCCAGAAATATACCCAGCTGATGCTCATGATGCTCTCCTCCTGCCTCGTCAAATGCACACAAACACTGGGGCAGTTGGCTGTGCAACATCTGGAGTCTAAGGGGGCCATGTGGCCGGAAATATGCCCAGCTGATGCTCATGATGTTCCCCTCCTGCCTCGTCAAATGCACACAATCACTGGGGCAGTTGGCTTTGCAACATCTGGAGTCAAAGGGGGCCATGTGGCCGGAAATATACCCAACTGATGCTCATGATGCTCCCCTCCTGCCTCGTCAAATGCGTTCAATTACTGGGGCAGTTGGCTTTGCAACATCTGGAGTCTAAGGGGGCCATGTGGCCGGAAATATACGCAGCTGATGCTCATGATGCTCTTCTCCTGTCTCGTCAAATGCACCCAATCAACAATCACTGGGGCAGTTGGCTTTGCAACATCTGGAGCCTAAGGGGGCCATGTGGCCAGAAATTTCCCCAGCTAATGCTCATGATGCTGTCCTCCTGCCTCGTCAAATGCACACAATCACTGGGGCAGTCTAAGGGGGCCATGTGGCCAGAAATATACCCAGCTGATGCTCATGATGCTCTCCTCCTGCCTCGTCAAATGCGTTCAATCACTGGGGCAGTTGGCTTTGCAACATCTGGAGCCTAAGGGGGCCATGTGGCCAGAAATTTACCCAGCTGATGCTCATGATGCTCCCCTCCTGCCTCGTCAAATGCGTTCAATCACTGGGGCAGTTGGCTTTGCAACATCTGGAGTCTAAGGGGGCCATGTGGCCGGAAATATACCCAGCTGATGCTCATGATGCTCTTCTCCTGTCTCGTCAAATGCACACAATCAACAATCACTGGGGCAGTTGGCTTTGCAACATCTGGAGCCTAAGGGGGCCATGTGGCCAGAAATTTCCCCAGCTGATGCTCATGATGCTGTCCTCCTGCCTCGTCAAATGCACACAATCACTGGGGCAGTCTAAGGGGGCCATGTGGCCAGAAATATACCCAGCTGATGCTCATGATGCTCCCCTCCTGCCTCGTCAAATGCGTTCAATCACTGGGGCAGTTGGCTTTGCAACATCTGGAGCCTAAGGGGGCCATGTGGCCAGAAATATACCCAGCTGATGCTCATGATGCTCTCCTCCTGCCTCGTCAAATGCGTTCAATCTTTGCAACATCTGGAGTCTAAGGGGGCCATGTGGCCAGAAATTTCCCCAGCTGATGCTCATGATGCTCCCCTCCTGCCTCGTCAAATGCGTTCAATCACTGGGGCAGTTGGCTTTGCAACATCTGGAGTCTAAGGGCGCCACGTGGCAAATATTCCCAGCTGATGCTCATGATGCTCTTCTCCTGCCTCGTCAAATGCACACAATCACTGGGGCAGTGGTAGGTTTCACAAGGGTATTTGGTTTAGGGTTTTAAGCTTCGAGCCGGGTGTTAGAGTTCTAGGGCGTTTACGGTATTCGGGCTTTAGGATTTTAAGGTTTTAGGGTTTATAGGATTTTACAGTCTAGGAGCCTTGGGGGTTTTAGATGCTGTAGCGGTTTTAGGGTTTAAGGGTTGGGGGGAGCATTGGGGGCATTCAGGGTAACCCCAAGCCCTGAGCCCTAAGCCCTAAGCCCTAAACCGTGTAGGGTTTTCACGGGTTTGCAGAGGGGGGGGGGGGTGTTCGAGCTTTGGGGCTGAGAGTGTGTTCGGGCTTGGGGGTTTAGACATTGAGGGCTTTTGGGTTTTCAGGGGGCTTCGAGTCTTGGGCCTTCCAGGGTGGGGAGTTAGGGTTTAGGGTTCTCCATGTTCTGAAACCAAGATCCCCAAAGTCTTGGTGCCAACGCTAAACCCTAAACCCCAAACCCGACCTCCCTCCGCACCTGTGCAGAGAGGCTGGCCCTCTTCGCACGATGCAGGGCCTGGGCATCGTTGAGGGTTCGGGCTTGGGGTGGCAAAGCCTAAGCTCCGAAACTCCACGCTTCCCTACTTCCCTTGAGCAGAACCTGAGGCCTCCACTGCACTGCAAGGCCATATGGGCATTCATGGCTCTCTCTGCGTCAAAACCTCAGCCCTTTGCAAGAAGAAGTAAAAATGCCCAGGAAGGGGGGGGGGGGTTGGGATCATCTTGCAAAGTTCAAGCTTTAGCCGCCAGCTGCTGCCGCGTTGTGTCAGCCAAAGTGCTGCGTTGCATGAAACATGGCTTCCCCCATGTAGTCCGGCCATAGAAACAAACTGTGGGACCTGCTACTGTAAGCAGCCAGGCACAAATAACTAGAAGGCAATTGGGGCATCCCTAAAACCTTAACCCTCAGTCCTTAACCCATCAGTATATGGAGGGAACGAGAAGCTTCCCAGATCTCGCTTTAGCGAGCCGCAGGCAGCCGAACTTCAAAAGAAATTGCAGACCCGCAACCACCCTCCCACCCACAGAGGGCTTCGGGTTTAGGGTTTCGGATTTAGGGCTCTAACCCTCCCAAACCCAAAAGAGATCCTCATAAATCCCATCTCTCGGCTCAAATCCAAGCAAAAGGCGCAAGAACTTGATGCAAAAAAATATTCCAGCCCGCACTCAGTTTTGCCACATGCCGGCTCACCCATCTTCTTCAGCTCGGCCTTTAACATTCAGAGATCGGCCTTTGTGACCTCTGGCCCCTTCATGTGGACTCGCTTCTCGAGCCGCAGCAATCCATTCGGATTCACTTCTTCGTAAGGCACATGCACTGCCAGACTTGTTTGCGAGACGCTGTCTACATGTATCTGTGTCTACGATGAAGGGGAGAGCTGTCCCAGCTGTTTCGCTTATACGTGGTAGTCAGATGAAAGACCTTGCTTTTTAAGTTGGTGCTATTCAAGCTAGACTATTTCAAAGTGAACTTAACGAACACTAGCCTTAAAAATGCCCGCAACACCAACCTGCGACTCGAACTCAGGTCACGTGTTTTTATGATTTAAAGAAACCTCTAATGACATTATTTCGTCCAATCGCAGAAACCTTGTAACATCTGCTGTCCTACATCAAACACAAGTCTGCCACTTAGCCTACCAACTTTCCGTGCTTAAGGGTAAATCCGCACAACAAGTTCTGATATTTGACCAAGCCGGAATCATTACGACAAAGTTGTGCCCAACACAATTAAACCTGCAATGCAATGGCTTTTTCGCTCTAGAAGCATTTAACCATGTGAGGGGCTGATTTTGTTTCGTTCCGTTTGAGAACAAAGGCACACATGACTTTCCTTGGGCACAGCTTGCCGTGCCAACAATAAATAAGCACATGTATAAGTGTATCTTGACAAACCTATGTCCAAAAGCTTCGGATATGAATACTGGCTGGGAAAGGCACGTTTACGCAGGGATTTCCCATACATCTGTTGTGTTGCAAGCAAGCGCCTCAAAGAATGCTTTCTGATGATTTCTGTGACGTATGGGAAATGCGTTTCTTCGAAGTGTTTTCACAGGGATCTTCTGTACCTTATTGCAAGGAAAATGTGTGTTTATGCCGATCATGCTAATTAAGGTTGTTCATGATAATGGCAAGAAGAACAGTACTAACAGCTCGATGATGTGGTGAATGGGAGTTGGTTCGACTCAGGCAGTTCAGCAGGTGCCTTGTCATTGACAAGAGTCGGGAGGCCGGTTCTGTAACATCTGTGACTAGAAGTGCAGACTACATCCATACTCCAAAGTGCATGTAAGCCTTTTGCCACAAGTACTTGCAGTGGCATGCACCGGTCCCGATTGCAGACTTGTCTGCGTGCATACATAGTCATTGCTTCCAGCATGAGCCCTCTCGCCACATGCGCGGCCGCATTATCAACGCGAAGACTCGAGATCACGCGGAAGCACTTGGGAGATCATGCAGTAGAGTCAGTAGAGCCAGTCGCACGGCCCGCTGTTACGGCCTCAACAAACACTTCGGCCACCCTTCGGCTTCTGACAACTCTGCCACTCTGCCATGCTCTGCCATACTCTTCCGAGAAGTCGAAGCATGAGAGGAGCCTTGGAAGAAGCCCAATGAGCTGTGAGAGGCCGGGCAGCTTGGCCTCGAGCCATCAGGACCGCATGAACAGGGGGATTTGTAGGGACGTTGTACAGTGCTGCAGTGCTACATTGAGCAGATACTGCACTCTGGGCATTTTGGTGGAGACTCATTTTGTTCATGAATGCTCTGTGTTGGCCAGTCCTTGTCCCGAGCTCTCTTTCCAGGTCGGTCCTGGCACAAAGCTTCGAGGGCATGCTCTGAGTATCTCTGAAGGTCAGCCGGCTTGGGATTGTAGGAGGCATGCTGCCTCCTCGGTGCTCGGGGCTTCTCGCTTTCGCTCGCTCCTGTCCGTGGCGCTGGCAGCACTTCGTCACACAAAGAAGTGGCCGAGTTTTATCTTGGGACTACGCTGCGCTCATCTGTTGACTCACCTGGGCACAGTGCGGTCCTTTTCGGTTTCTCGGTGCCTGTGTTTGCTCCGGAAGACAGTGCCGAAGACACTTCACGTGACAGCTTCGGTGCCTTCAGCCGAGTTCACTTGACCACGCTCCAATCTTGGCACTCATGCACTTTACGCGGCCTCCACCAGATCCTGTTTCATTCCCTTCGGGGCCTGTCCAAGGAGCACACGGAGCGGCACTGTGCATGTCATCATGCAGAATTGTGCAGGAGGAACATCATGAACTCGGAACGATTCTTATGCCTCCATCAGCCGAACTGACGACCCTTGCTTCCTGGCATCTCAAGGCCAATGTTTAAACGCAACACGCTGCAGTCACAATCGTGAGTAGTCACAACATGCGCGATGAGCTGTTTGCAGGAGCTGTCCTCGAAACGCGAACTGACGGTGGTGCTGCCTTGACTGGCTCCGGTGTTGGCGCTGGAGCCTGGACCTTGCTTGCCTTTCCGATCTGCCCGCTTTGCTTCACAGCATCTTTTGGAGCAAGCAGAGACGGCTTGCGCCCATCTGGTGCTCCCTTTCCTGCCAGAGCATGCGTGCGCAGTGGTACCGTGCAGAATCGTGCAGATGATGCCAAAGTCTGTGCCAAGGCTCCGCTGTCGTTTGCGACTCGAGGGCGCGGCTTCAACTCATCAACGCCCACCGTCTCGAAGCGAGCCCAGCGAGGGCTGTGCCTGTTCCCGCAGTGCACTACCCAATTCGAAGCCCTCGAAGACAAGATCCTTGACGTCAAGCATACATACACGCATATCACATATATATATATACATATATATATATGTGATTATGTAATTATGTCAGTATAGAACAGCATGGAAGCATAAAGAGGGCTGTCCTTTTTGAGTCTACTTACAGCCATGCCCTCCCCTCTCTCACTGCCCCCACCCCCCCCCGCTTTGCTTTGCTTTGCCTTTGCATGGCATGCGGTCCTTTGAAGTTGGTCCTTCGAGGCCGGCCCTTTTAAGGGCCCCGGCCTCCAATGTCTGCTTAACCTTCCCGCCCCATTCCCTCAGCAAAAATTGTGCAAAAGGTGGCACTGGCAGCAGCCAGCAACCATGATAGAATGTGTCCCCATGTCTTTAAGCAGGGGCACATGGCGCAGTAGACGAAGCGAGCACCAGCAGGCTTGATGTGTCCAGCATTGCGGCATGGAAGTCCTGGAGACATCAGAGAACCAAAACCATCTACAAGCCACAGTCTATTTTCTAAATCTTACCAAAGCACCTGCAACGGTCGAGGCATGGCAGGAACCCACTGCTTGTGCCCGCGACCGCGCGGGTCGCGCGGACCGCGCGCGCCGGGCGCCGACGTGCGGCATGCCAGCAGCCCGCACTGCGAGACCAACGCCTGAAGCAAAAGCAAACAAAGAGGGGCCAAACTGGCCTCCGAGCTCAGATCCGCTCTTTCTCTCTCTCTCTCTCTCATGTGCGCGTGCGTGTGCCGTGGTGTGCCTTCACCTTGCTTCTCCGGAATCTCGCTTTGCTTGGAAGGGCACATTGTCTGCCAGAGTGCCGAGAAATTCGGGGCCGCTGTTGGCCCGGGGCCACGCTGGCGTCGCAACAGCGATGTCTGTGTGACACGCTGCACCGGCTTCAGAGGTCGGAGCTGTCGCAATTGCTCAACTTCTTCCACGAGCGCCGGCTGCGCACCCTGCATATCACTGACTTTCGTTCCCGATTTCGACGGCTCGGGCTCTTCCCTTCTTGGCTGTGCTTGCAAAGCTTGCGCTTTGCGTGGCGCTTTTGCTGGTGGCGGCTCCAGGTCCACGCGTGCCTGCGCGGGCGGGTGCGGTGGCAGAGGGCTCGGCGCCTTCGTCGGTGGCTTCGTCGGCTTGGTCGGAGGGGCTGCGGTGGATTCTGCCGGCACTGCTGGCACTGCTTGATGCTCGTGATGCCCGTGATGCCTGTGATGGTGTGGGCTGGGAGAGCTGGCATCCTGGGTGGGAGTGGGTTGCGGGGCACAGGCAAAGTGAGCCAGGAGCACGTTCAGCAGCTCCCGCTTTGTACCTGTTGCGATCAGACCACGTTCCGTGCAGAGATGCCGAAGCTCCTCTGTGTGTAACAGTCGGAGGCCGGCGCGAAAGCCCTCGTCCAAGGTCTGTGTACAAACCGCAGCCGGACTAACCGGACTTCTGCTTGTCTCTCCGCTCACAGCATGTCCACTGACAGCCTGTGGCTCGGGTTGCGCCGCGGGAATCGAAATCTGGGAGGGCACCAAGTCCAGCGGCTCCGTGACAGGCTCCTTGACTGTCATCTCCGGCTCGAGCGGCTCGAGTGTCTCGAGCGGGTGGACGCCACCGTCTGCCTCATCCGCAAGTGCATCAAGAACCTCCGAGGGCTGTGGTTCAGCTTCGGTCGGCCCAGGTGTTTCCACAAGCTGCGCGCAGTTCTCCTTCGCAGGATCCGTCCCCTCAGCCTCTCCCGAGGGCTCCTCCGTCTCCTGCAACGATCATACCATCCAGACAAATCAAGCCCCGTATTGGCATGTAATACTGTAACAAACAACTGATGTCAACCAATGGACTGCTGAGCAACCCCGGGCCTCCTCGGCTCCGAGAGGCTCCTGCAGAGGCACCGGAAGCCCTTTGTTAGGCCCCCCCATTCATTTCTCAGCTCTCATAAATCCACACATACTCTTCACTCAGGAATTCTTCGGGTCTCGCAAACATGCAGCGCCTCGCAGGCCATGTGCACGGCCAGCCGGGCCGTGAGCTCCGCGGCGTCGCCCGCGGCGTCGAGGCCACAGGCCCGGCCTCGAGGAGCCCTTTCCCCCCCCCCCCCCCCGTTGTGACAAAAGCACGAGAGAAACGCGCAGACAACTTCTTCTTCTTCTTCTTCTTCTTCTTCTTCTTCTTTCACGCGCGTCTACCCGGCAGATGGGACGCCGGCAGGCTGCTTGCAAACCCACCAAAGAGAGGCCTTCCATGCTGGCAGGGACCTAAGGGCAAATCACACACACACCAGACCAAGCACCACTGACACCAGTCTCTGTCCGGAGGAAACATTCGAGACCTTAGGCTGGCACTTCTTCAGTCAACGGTGTGGCCGGAGTCTCTTGTGACCTCGCCCCGCAGTTGCATCGACCTAGCTTTTCTGGCACCTTTCCGAGGCCAGGACTGAGGCTCAACCTGCGCACAGAAAAAGAGGCAAGGGCTCAGACCCTGTAATCTTGGGGCGTATCGGTGGGTCTTTTGAGCATCCTGTAGCATCTCGGCACTTGCTCGACAGCTTAAGTTGTTGATCAGAAGTGGCAAGCCCACCTATCGCAAACCGCCTTTGACTACAAGGGCGTTTCTTCCGGCAAAACTGCAACGTCTGCTTGTCATGGATAGCATCCCTTACTTTTGAAAGGGCCGCCAAGAAACTATGAACCATGGTGTTACCTCGAAAAAAGCGCGGCCCGAAAAGCAGCATTCCGAGCACTATACAGAGCCAACGCTGGCAGGTCTCTCACACACTTTCAATTAAAGGTTACTTAACATTTCCTAAAGGCTTGTCACCTAAAATCTCTGAGTTGAAGTGTGGCTTCAGGGCCTGCGGCGCGAGAGCCGCGAGGCGGCCCACGAGCTCGCTTCGTCCGCCCGACGCCGGGAGCCCCCGAGCGCGGCAGGCGTTGCGAAGCTCGCCCATGGGCAGGGCCTCAACAAAAAAGGCCACTGAAAGTGAAGGAGAATTGAAGGGAGGCCCAGGGAAGGACCGGCACAAAAAATGACAGAAAGGGGCAAGGGCAGGCTGGAAACAAGACCGGCAAGACGGGGTAAGACGATCAAGACTCTGCAACTTCAGCCGCGGTGAGATTCCAGACATTGCAGGCCAAATTTCCAATCTTCTCTATAGATCCAAATCCAGGAGGTTGGTGAACAAATTCCCAATCAAGCTTAAGACTTGATTCCAACTGCAGGACGACCTCGTGTCAACCGGACAGAGCGTGTTTTCCCAGCCAGGGTCGTCCTCCGACTATAAGAGCTGCTCCGGAAGCTTGCACAACTATCGACGGCGGTAGACGTTCTGTGCCATGCCATGCCATGCTGCTAGCTCGCTCGCTCATCTAGATTCTACCTGTAGCTCGAGCATACGAGAACTGATGTAAGGCTGGTACTCCCAAGTTCTTCGCCAGGGATGAAACGACTTCCTTCGCAGCATGTGCCGCTTGTGCCTGCGCCGCCGATGCCTCGCACAGGCCCAAGGACGATAAGAAGAGTCGCAAGGCCTCAGGGCTGCCAAGTGCCCACCGCTTGCCCACCTCTTGTGCAATCGCCAGCGCTTCCTGACCACCTCGCAGTGGCGACCTCCCAAACTCTGCACCCAGGGCGCACGTTATGGACAGATGTACAGACAGGACTCGGCTTGATTGAGGCTCGCCATGGCTCGCCTTGTCGGCGGAATCCAGAGGCCACTCTTATCAGGTGAGCGCGTCGTTTCCGGCGCTTCCTGGCCGGGACTGCGCGCCATCCCCCGCCTAAACCATGGAGCAGCCCCGGTGGGACCTTCGACGCTTGAATCTCGGCTTCGACCAAACGTTCCTGGCACAACTCCATGTGTACACTGTGTACGCGCACAAACGTTCACCCCGGTAGAGACTTCCCCGTTGAGACATGATGCTTCAAACTGCGCCCCCCCAAACACGCGTCTGAGCTGCGACCAGCTTAGCTTTGCAGCCTTTACTATCGACTCCTTTCTCCCGGCAGGAGTTGCGAAGCCTTGGTCCACGTTTATGCAGATTTGTGCGTATCTGCGTATTATGTCTTATGGAGCTCCTCACTCTGCAAAAATTCCCTGGAGGATCGGACTCCTTGACCGTCAGTTTGTGCAGCTCCTCGATGTACTTCCCCTTCCTCCACAAAAACAAAGAAAAAGGCATCTGCAACGAAGCCATCATAACCATCAGCTCCCTGCTTAAGAAGCTGCATCCAAGCTTCGTCTTCGCATCCCATCGGCGAGGCTTCTTTGCCTGAGAGGTGATTTCGGTACTCGGGGGAAAATCAGCTGCTGAAATAGCTCGAAGCCCAGCTGACGCCACGGGCCTTGTTAGGAACGGGTGGAGGCGGCATCTTTCTTTTGACACCTGTTGGCAGCCGTCGACTCAGGAAACACACGAATTGACAGCCAGATGGAAGCGCCGCAATGAAGCCCCCCAAGCCTTGTGGCGCTTCAGGCTGTGCTTCACTCGCTTCGCTCGTGTTGGCATCTGCAGAGCCTTCCGCGCAAGATGTTCAAAGACGTCATCGGATGAAACTGTAATGAAATTCAACATGCCAGGGCTAACCTGGGACACCTTCAGCTGGGTCGGAAAGCGATGCGTTGGTGTCTGTTTGAGGGCAACCCCGCTGCGCAGGAATTCTGAGGCATTCTGAGATTCTTTGAAATACTTCGCGACACACTCCGCTAAGCTCGAGGCGCTTCGACGCCTTTGGCTTGGCAGGTAGGCATTTTGGAGCGGCCGAGTCTACCTCTCGGACATGTGCTGAGGCAGCCCTTAACTCTTAAGCAGAGTGGAGATCGGTCCCGTGTGCTTTTGGGGACTTCAGCTCCCGGCCGTTGAGGTCTCGGGCACAGGCTCGTCAGGCTCGCAACGTTCGCCAGGCTCGCCCTGGGACCTGGCACCCCGGGAAAGCAAAAGGGCAAATCAACGGTTTTGATGTGACGAGCACTTCACTGAAAATCGTCCCAAGCAAACTTTGGGCGGACCCGATCTTCTGCTCTGGGTCGATCAACGATTCTGGGCCTCTGCTTTCAAGCGCTTGGCATAGCGTACTATTCCACGCAGTGACAAAATGCCATACAGCAGCATACGATACAGAAATTAAAGCCAAAGATTGATGGACTCTTCAGTGTGGACACTGCAAAAACATCAGAGACACCGCAGACGCCTTGCGATTCCACCACTTGAACCTCGCCCGCTTGGCCTGCAAACTGCGGGTACTTAGTTTAGTTTCATGGAAGTTCATGAGAATGTCGTGCGTAGAGTGAGCTAGTTGGGACGTGCCTGCGGCCTGCACTGTCTCAATCGGGTCGGGCTCAGGCAGACTTTCCGGCAAAGCCAGGTCACCTCCAGCGATAGTCGGCGGCCGATACGACAAGCGGACAGCGGACAAAGTGTACAACGGTGACCCGGCAGGTTACGACTTTTGGACCCGTGCCCTGTGGATGCACCGTTTCGTGCTGAGTGCAAGGAGTTGCGGCCTCGAAATGCGACAAGAATCCGACAAGAATCGAGCATTTCAACGGCTTGAGGGTTCATTGCGGTTCAGAACCAAGGCATAGTGGCAGAGTGTCTCCATGGCAAAGGATCTCGGGCCATGACGTTCTCAATCTCAAGGGTGAGGCGATCCATCAATACCTGGCCGGATGCTACGAGGTTGCCATTCGGCACAGCTCACTACGCTTGACCGCCCGCCTTCCTACTTCCGTTGCTTGGAAGTCCCAGATCTACACAGGCCTGTGTAAAGCCAGGACAATTGGAGGCGAGCTGAACCAGCTCAGAGCATGATATAGCACTTGTAATGTATGTAAATAAATAACTAAATATATATATATATATACATATAGTACTCAAGTGTCTGCGAGAGGAGGCCTTCCGGAGCTCCTGCAGTGGCATGCTGGAGAGGCCTGACTTAGCCAACGTTTGGATACATGTCAGACACAACACCTGCAGCAAGAACCGAAACACATAATTGAGCACACAACATGTCGGCTCGTTTAGGATGGTGCCTGATTGATGAAACATCCGGTCCTCATCGGCCTCAGACGTCAGACCAGAAGGCTGAACTTGATTCATGGCTCAAACGCAAGGCTTTTTGTATCTACAGGGCTTGTATGGGCTTGTAAAGCTCAGGAGGAAACCTCCGAAGTGCCAGGATCCCTCGGCGCACCTCGACATGAGCAACAAGGGTCAAGGGACTCAAACTCAAGGGGGGGGGGCCCGCCATGTCGGCCTCCATGGGCTTCATGACCTTCATGAGCTCCCTTCTCCTCTTGAGAGGCTGAGGTGTCTGGCCTGGAAGGGAATCGGATAAATGGCTTCAGCGACGTGGAATCTCTTGCGTTGCCGACTCCAAGCGCAGCCGAGGGTCAGTTCCAGTACTGGCTTCTCCTTCTGCTTGAGGCTCGGACACAAAGGCAGCGCACTCTGAAATGCAAACTGAAGTGTGATAGACCATGCTCCTGCTCTTCCGGACGACCTGGTCGCGCTCCTTTCTCCAAACCTTCGGGGCCACTCCTGACACAAGGACTTTCACGTTCATTCAGACAAAAAACGCCCTATTGACTCTGTCCAGTGGTGCAAGCAAGGCTCGCTGGCGCCAGTGCTGGCGCATCCTCGCTGATTGTTCCGCGACTTCCCTCGGAGAAAGGAGTCGTGGCGATCGGCTGAAGTTCCTCTGCCGCCACGGCTGCCGCCACCCCATGCCAGTTAGTCATCGCCTCACACGCCACATGTCCATTTATCGCTTTCACGTTGCACATGCTGCAAGACTGTTCGGAACCATCCAAACGAGATGGCCTCCTCTTGCCGGGTCGATGTCTGCAAGTCTCCCAAGTCTTGCTGAGACGCTTTCCTGAGCCGTGTCATCTTCGGGTGTTTCGGGAATGCTCCGAGGACTTGAACAAACATGCAAAATGCAGGGAAAGACTCGTTCTCTGCTCGGCAGGAGGGCTTTTGGCCGATGCTTCAGCGACCTCGTCCAAGGCATGCGCTTCTTCTCCTTGCGGGCTTCTCGGCTCCTGTTTCAGGGTCCGAGCAAACAGCATGTGCAAGCTAGAGTTTCATGAGCCGAGTGCCTGCTCTTCGGGACGATCAAGTGGCGCTCTGTTCTCCAAACTTTCGGGGCCACTCCTGACATTTTCAGGCTATTTCAGGCCCGTTGCAAACAAGACAGCCACGGTACTTGCACATCTTGTACTGACGCTGTCCAGAGGTGCAAGCAA